AAGGCTTCGGCGTCGGCGTCGGCGTCGGCGTCGGCCCCGGTCCCGGCCCAAGTGCCTGCCCCGGCCGCTGAGATCCTGCTGACGCCGGCTAGGGTGAGAGGGGCCAGGGGCTCGGGGCGGGGGTTTGGGACCCAGGCGTGCCCCGCCGGCCCCGGGGACTGCCCAAGGCACATCAGGGAGCGGGAGTCTTGAGCGGAGCGGGGGTGGGAAGTCGCGAATGGGTCTTCCATCCCCGAATGGGGAGGGGGTTTGGGTCCTGTCCTAAAGCGGCAGCGGTAAGCCGAAGTCCGAAGAGTGAGAGGGCGTCTGTTGCTGGTCCTCAGGTGAGGAGGCGCTCGAGGTCTCTTCCAAAAGTGGAAGGCTCCTAGGCTCCTGGCCCCAAATTACGGGGCGGGGGCTGGTCCAACGAAGTTCCAGGAATGTGGGGGATGGGGGAGTATGCGTCTGGTTCCAATCAAGAGGAAAAAGCCGCGAGTCGAGTCCCCAGTTGGGGGAGGGGAGGAGGGTTAGACGTAGTTTCCCCAAAGTCGGGTGGTGGGACTTGATTGGCTCAAGAATGGGGGCGGGGGGTCTGGTGCCAACGAAGTGAGAGAGGCCGTTGATTTCGTCCCAAATAGGGGGCTGCGGAGGCTAGGGGACGTGCTGCTGGCCGGCGCTGGAACTGACCATTAAGTGATGAAATGGAAATCAACCAGAACCGGCCGGGCTGCGCCTCTGAGGGTGTGGGGTCCGGGATCCGAGGCCGGGCGCCCTCATCCTATCCTGTGTCCTGCCGTCTGAGCCGCTATGCTCCCCTGTCCTCCCTCCTCTCCCAGCCTCCCGCTGAGCGGCCACCTCCCCGCCTCCAGCCCCCCCCCCCCGCCCTCCCCGGGTGGAGAGGGCTCCCCCCTGTCCCAGTGCCCTGCGCATCCCGGGTCTCTTGGCTACCCTCGCCCCGCCCCCTCCGGCTTCCTCCACTTCGCCTGGGGGAGAGAAGGCATTTCCGCCGTGGAAAACTGTCTGAGCTGCGGGGAGCGTCTCCGGGAAGGGCCCGCAGCGGGCAGGACGCGTGGCGGGAAGGGAGGAGAAGGGAGTAGAGGGAGAGCTGTCCCAGCCAGGTTTTATGGTGCCGGGGCAAAGGTGTGTACGCGAGCCCTGCTGGCGGTGATCTTGGTGCGCACCAAGCCCCCGTTTTCCCCATCCCCCATCAGGCAAAACTAAGAAAGGCTCTGTCCATCCCTTCCCCTTTCCCTCTGTAGGCTTCTGAAGAGTCTTCCTCAATGCCTAGCCTCCTCCCCAAGTTTTGTGGCTCAGATTAAGTCATGCCCAGGGTATTAAGGGGCCTGCAGTATTCTAGAAAAGGAGGCGCTGTAGAGGAGCCTCCGAGATGGGTGTCAGCCTGGGCAGAGACCCTGAATAAGGAATGTCAGGAGCCTAGGCGAGCTCTCCTGCTCTTGTGTGGTGGTCACTGCAGCCACTCAGCTACAAGAATTCAATTGCCGAGGCTGGGTTGGGGGTTGCCGTGTACAGCAACCCCCTCCTTCACCTGAAGATGGAGAGATGGGCACTCTGTATTTGAAGATGGTAATCTGCAGCTTTAAAAGTTTGTAAGCAGCTCTTCAAATCTCCTTCTTTACTGAAGGAAACTTGCCCTGTTACCCTGGGGAGGGGGGGAGGGATGGGAGCAGATGAAACAAGCGCTCTTGCCCATTTCTTCTTCTACCTGCTTCTCCCCAGAGAGATTGGGGAGCAAAGAGAACCAGGGCAGACAGTGGGAGGTTGTCGTTCCAACTCTATCAGAAGGTCCACCAAATTTTGCAGGAGCGGCACATTCTCTGTCAGCAGCCAGCTGATGGCTTTGGGCAAGATGACCCAGCCCGGAATCCCAGGGCAGTGACTGACATCCAGTTTCTGGCTTTTTATCCAGCTCTGAAACTGAGCGTCCTCTTTTCCCCTCACCCAGCGTGAAATGGAAATATCAACATCTTCCTGCATACTGTTTGTAATGGCCTTGAGCCTGCTGAGTGACTCTTTCCCCAAACCTTGCTGGTTTGGCTGGATCCCCTTTCTCTCTAATTAGCAAGGGTGGGGGATGATCAGGAGGAGGAACTAAAACCTCTACACCTTTAGGACAGAACTTTCACAGCTTCCTGAGGCCCTGAGGTGGTACAAAGTGATCTTTAGATACTGTGGGTCAGCTCTGCCCATCGCCTGCCAGCTTTGGAGTCTTGGAAGACAGTTTACTTCTGCAAGCCTCCCACTGCTCCACCTGGCCAGCGGGCACATTTCCCTGCTGCCCAGTGCCTGGCAAGGAGCCAGCCCTCCTGGTCCCGGCAGCAGGAGCAAGCAGGGGATCCATTTCACACCTATAGCTCAGGATGAGCCATTATCAGGGCAGTGAAGGAGATGCTGCCAGGGGGTTGCTTTATCAAGGCAGGGCATGTGGATTTTGTCCCACGTGGATGGGAATGCGCAGGAGAGCTTATTAGAAGGTCTCTTGTGGCTGGGGGTGACCTCAGAACCCTCTTTGGTGACTGAACTGGACTCAAAAACAATATTGGAACAAGTGGTCTCTGAAAGGAACGCTTGATGGACAGAGAGTGTGTCAGTGCTTTGGAGCAGTCAACCTGTGTCCAGGCCTGGGGTTGGGGGTGGTGGTGGGTAAGGCTGCTGCAGCACCCTCGCTGCGGGGACCCCCCCTGCTTCTGAGTAGAAACTGAAACACAAGGAGGATTTTGTCCCTGGACCTGAGGCTGGAAGGAAGTGCCTCGGTGGACTGGGGGCTGGGGCCCAGCTGGGCCTCCAGCTGCCCAACCTCCCCACGTGGTGTTTTGACTCTGAGATAATAAGGAGCCTACACGCTGATGGGCAGCTGGTGTGCAGCCAGCTTGGGAAGTGGGCTGGACCTGAAACACCCCTTCAGAAGGGATCCCTCTTTCCCTTTGGGAGCCCTCTGGCTGGCCCTGCCCCTCTTAGTCTACCCCATTTCTATGTACTCTGCCTGTGCTCCCCCCGACACACACATACACCCACACCAGGCAGGTACGGGCACGTACAGATTCTCGGGCTGCAGGCTGCAAAGGGAGAGAAACATGTTAATATACAGTCATCTTCTAACCTCTGTAATGTTCTCCTTGGCATTTGCCTTTGATTAATGGCCCTGTGTTGCCCCCTCCCCCAGCCTGCATACCTGGGGATCAGATTTCACTTTCCGTGTGTGTGCTGGCCTCTAGCCCTTGGCAGGAGGAGCTGGGTCTCTTAGAGTGGTTGGGAGATGGTCTCCTGCCAGCCAGGAGAGTGAGTCTGTCCGACTTGGCGTCCTCCTATCCCAGTGCCCCCATGCCCCGATGCCCTGATGCCCCCTAGCTGGGGGGTGGGGGTTGGGACAGGAGGCCCTTGTGGAAAGGTGGCCCTACTCCAAGTCCTTGCCCATGACAGCATGGGGACTTGGCAGGGCCATCGTCCAAGGGGATTCGGCGTCTAGGCAGGCACCACAGTGACTTTTCTGCTTTCCCTCCCCGCTTCCCTCTCCATTCCCTTTTCTGTTCTCTTCGCTGGACCATCCCTGCATGTTTCAAGCAGACTACCAGCAGGATGAATTTCTCTTAGCGAGAGAAAAATGTTTATGGGAAAATCACAGAAGCACAGGCCCATAATCTCTCAATCTCTCCAAGTTCCCTCTCCCCATGAGGAATCTTCCAGCTTTATTTCTTGTCCTTCTTGAGACTTTGGTCTCTGGAGATGACTTGACTGTCAGGGATGAAAGAAAAGAGAGAATTTCTCCTGACCCAGCCAAGCTGAAAGCATTCTGTGCAGATGCTACCCATGGGGCCGCAGTCTGGAAGGGAGTACAGAAGAGTGGGATTCCATTGATGGGGAATCCCGGACCCTGTCAGTGTGTGATCAAGTGGCCTCTGCTTCTGGACCAGTGGTCTCTGTGTGTTCAGGTGGACACTGGGCATTTGACCATTTCCCCTTCCCCCAGCAAGACCTCTGCGTGTCTCAGTCATACACACACACCCATGGGTGCCCTTGCCTGCATGTCTCAGACAGTCATACACACACACCCATGGGTGGTCTGGAGCCTGGGGAAGAAAGTTGCTGACGACTGGGAGTGATGTGGGGAGGTAAGATGCGACCCCCAGCCCTCAGCCTGGGCCTGCAGGGGGTGCATTTCTGGCTGCCCACCTCCTCCAAGCAGCTTACACTCTGCAATCATAGTTTAATCCGCTTGCAGTTAATTTAGACAATGTTACTGAAGGACCAGAGCTGGGGAACTTTCCCCTCCAGCCATGGGGGTCTGCCGAGTTAATGCTGCAGTTGGCTGATTTCCCCCGGCTGTTTTGGCCCTGGCTTTGCTAAATCATTTAATGAGAGCCACTGTGGGCCTCAGTGCAGCCGGCAGTCAGAGGCCCGGGCGCCTCTGGTGTCCCTGGATGCCTGGCTCACATGCCCCACACGAATGCTCAGCGAGGCGCTTTGCTCCGAGAGCCTTGTTGCCTTGGAAACAGTGTGCAATATTTTTCTACTTCCTAAATGGAAGCCCCCCAAATGCCTGGCTGTCAGTAACTGCTTCAGGTGGGGAGCAGCATTTTTCTAGGTCTTCAGTATGATAGGTGGAGCAGCTGGGGGCAGGGGAGGATCTCATTCCATTGTCATTCTGGCTAGCTGGACAGCCAGGGATCCCAAGGGGGACAGCAAGGGTTCCAGGAGTTTGGAATTTGAGCCTTGGTCTCGATTGTGTAGTGTTGGCCCCAGTAGGGAAGGCAGTACTGGGGCAGGATTCAGGGGCTCTCCCTCCTGTCTCCGGCTTTGTGTCAGAAGTGCCTTTTTGTCTCTAAGCAGGAGCATCCATGGTTTCCTGTCCTTTTTGAGCAGCCCCTTTCTGCGAGTCTGAGCGGGGTGGGTGGGTGGCAGTGTGGCTGAGTCCCGGGTGTGTTGGGGCAGTGTCAGTAGGGGCCAGCGTTAATCCCAGCCCCGAGAGGGGGGTGTCCACCACCCTATCTAGGTAAAGTGGGGGATCCCCAGCCTTCACAGTGAGGAGGAGTCCTGGCTGGAGCCTCTGCCCTTCTCAGCCATACCTGCCACTGCTTCTATTCAGCCAGGGCCATGAAGCCCCACCTCCTCTCCCCTGTCCTCTCTGACCTCCTGTTCCCACCTCCCTCTGTGGGGCCTCAATGCATGGCCCCTCCCCCAGCACAGGGAGACACAGTCCTGCAAGCCAGCCAGAAAAGCTACTGTAAAACTAGCAGGCTCACCTTGTCAGTGAATTTGATTTGGAGAGCAAAAGAGCCTTGGGATCTCCCATGTAGCACGTCAACTTTTTTTTTTTTCTTTTCTATCTGTTTTTTAGCAATTCTCTCAAGCTAGCTTCTCTGGTTTTCCAGAATACAGGAGCTAAAGCATGGCCATGGTGCAGCCTCCACAGCTGTCCACAGGGGCAGCCTTAGAAAGGAAAGGCTGATAAAGATCTGCTATTTTTATCTAGCACTTTATCCTTTACAAAGGACTTTTAGGCTCTTTGTCTCTTTTAATCCCTACAAAACCCCTGTCGGTCTGTTCACATTTTATATGAGAGACCCGAGGAAGGAGGTACGCTCACAGTGCCCCTGCTGGAGCCTGGTCTGGCAGCCCCACTTGACCCCTAAAAACAATCTGGATCCTGGTGTATGTTGTGCCCCAAGGCCAGGATTCGCAGTTGGTGAAGGCAGCCTAGCCTGACTCTCAGTCTCTCTCAGGACCGCTGGAAGGGCAGGAAGGCCACTTTCCCTGGCCACCTCATTTGCAGGAGGCCCTGGGTGGCTTGTTCTCTGTGAGATCTGGCAGAACTTGACTGTTGGCGTCACCCTGTCTAGTACTGCTCCTGGGAGCTCACTGGAAAATCAAAGCCATTCAGTCCCCTGTCCCTTCTGGCCAGCAGCTGTCCCTGAGGACTCTGTGTGCTCATTGGTGACCTTCGTTAGTGTCCCTTGGGTGCTAAGGTGAGGCAAGTCAGGGAGTGGTCCCCGTGATCACAGGGCCCCCCACAGCAGGGCCAAAGTGGGGAGAGGCCCTAGGCCTGCAAATGAGCCAGACAATGAAGGGTAGCAGTGTGACTTCCCACACCTGCCAGGCAGGCTCTCTGGAGGACAGACCCAGGTGTGGGGGTACAGGACGGGGTGGGGCTTCCTCCCGTGGTACAGATGCTGAGGGTGGACTGACCTTGTGAATGTGCCCAGGGAGGGGTCTTTCAGACATTTTTCTGTCCTGTTGGGTGGAGAGGGGGTCAGGGAGAGAGTGCCAAGCAGTAAGGAATCAGACCCTCTGATGGGGCTCATCCCTGCTCCCCAAGGCCTAGACCCCAGCCCCCTATGCTCTAAGGCAAGAGGAATGGGATGGGACCTGAGGAGCACAACAGGCCCTATCCCCCCACCCGCATCGGGGCGGGACCCCTGTGCTGTGCTGAGAGATAAGGGCCTGTTCTGAATAATTTAGACCTGAACTATGTCCCTACTCTCCTGCCACCCCTTCTGGGGGAAGGGAAATGGGGCACAATCCCAGATTATCTGGCCAGAAGACACTGGAGAGGTCACTGAATCCAACCTGCTCATTTTACAGATGGGAAAATTGAGACCCAGAGAGTGTTAAGCAGGCAGTTAGGGGCAGAGCCAGAGTGAGAGGCTCCAGGATCCTGGACTGGAGCCTCTCCCCACACTGCCTCAGTCCAATGGGGCTGACCTCTGACTGCACCCTTGACTGTATCTGGACACCACTGAGGAAGGATTGAATGGTGGACACTGGAAGCAGAGACAGGCCCAGGGCTCTTATAACATCTCCAAGGGTGAACAAGAGCCTGGATTAGGGCAGAAACATGACCAAGATCACCCAGCTGACTCCCAGTCCAGTGCTCTGGGTAAAGCAGTTTTATTGAGTATATGCTCACTCACTTTCATCCACCAGCCCACACCCGTGCAGCTTGAGTTGTGGTGGCTTGGCTTCTTGGCAGTCCTGCGGCTATGATCCTGAGCTCAAGTCTGGCTCCCAGAGCAGGTTTTTCCAGGAGCCTCCTGACCTGGCCTCCTTGACAACCACATTTCCCTCCTGGAAGGAGGTCTCTGGTTTGTGGAACCCTCCATACTTGGCTCTGTAGACTCCACATCTCACCCCCTGCTGGTCAGTGCCTGTAGGGAGCCAGTGTGGACCAGCTCCAGACCCGCTGGGCCTCCCGGAAGCCCTGCTCCCAGCAGTCAGTGACTGCTCCCTGCTATAGCCTCTCCTGAGTGGAGTCCGGCAACCTCCACAGGCTCTCCCCACCTTCCACTGCCCTCATTTCAGTTCATCCCGTGCACTCCAGCTTTAGAGTAGATCTTGTCACCCCTAGCTCAAAAGCCTTCCTTGACTCCCAATTGACCAGAGCAGTGGATCCCAGCCTGCCTGGTACATTCCTATTCCACTAGATTCCAAGGTCTAGTGCCTTCACTAAGGCCATGTCAGTGTGCCCCCCATCTTATGTTTGAAAGAATTTGCAGTGGTCACAGCTGGTGTAATCAAGAACACTAAGAGTGCAAATCATTCAATATCCATTTGCTTAATCCCAGCAGATCACTTTAGGTGACTCCGACGTGGGTTTCAGCTTCTCTTTAGTGGTGAGGAGTCCAGGAGACCCTGGTGATTCTTCCCTTCCCCTTCCCCCAAGGCTCCCTCAGGGCCCAGCCAGTGTGTGAGGTCTTACTTAGGGAAGGAGGGATCTCCAGGGAGGGACTCGCTCTCTGAGGCTAACCCCAGCACTTCTGTCCACAGGAGGAGCAGCCCCTCCCCCATCGCTCCAAGAAGGGGGGCTCGGTGGGCGGCGTGTGTTACCTGTCGATGGGCATGGTCGTGCTGCTCATGGGCCTGGTGTTTGCCTCGGTCTACATCTACAGATACTTCTTCCTTGCGCAGGTGAGAGGCTGGGCCAGGTGGGACGCAAGGCCCCAAGAAAGGGCCATGCTTAGAAAGGAGTGCAGGGAAGTCTCTGAGTTTTCAGGGGGCAGCAGGAAGCCCCAGACATGCCCTCAGGCAGGGCCAGCCCAGAAGACTGACATCCTCAGGCCCAGGCCAGCCTCACCCTTCACCTCTGGTCCTAGGGAGCCAAGCATGAACCTAGGTGACAGCACTGGGGCCCTTCCCACAGTGTCACCCTGGGTTCCTCCCAGGATCCTGTGCTGCAGGCCATGCTTTAAGACTGACCTAATTCCACCCACACACAGACATTTGGGCTACCAAACAAGAAGGATGGAGGGGGAGACGGACTCGCCACTGCCTCTGTCAAGGAGCAGGAGGGTGGACTAGAGAGGAGCTTGCCTCTGCCTACAATCACGTCCCCTCCACCCCCTCCACCCGGGTATCTGGGTGCAAAACTGGGCCTTCCCAGACCTGGGGAGGAAGAGGGTGTTACTGTGTTCTTGGAATGGAAGGTAGGTACATTGAAAGTGGCTCAAGGTTAGCACAACCAACAGGAACTCTCAGGGTGACAGAAAAGCCGGGACTTGCCAGTCATTTATGACCCAAGTGAACTCCCACCCCTAAGCATTAACTTTGTTGTCATCCAGTTTTCCCATGGTGGAACTTACCGAAGAGTTGGTATTCCATGGACTTTTCCCTGAAGCCTCGGCTCCCAGGCACCTGCTGGTTTTCTCTCTTGTCCAGCATGTCCCCTACCCCCTCATGGCCTGCTTCCCACTTGTGCCAGGTCCTCATTCCGGTGTGGGACCATGTCCCAGGCCTCTTCCTGCTGTGGCCCTACCCTAGGACCCGCTCTGGTACCTCCTGGTCTCCTCTGTTCCCAGCCCCCACTCACACCCTCCTGAGGCTCCTCATCCTACCCCACTTCCTAGGTAACTGACACCTCAGAGCAGCCCCTGGGCCTATGCCCTAGGACATATTCAAGGTGTCCATTCACCAAGGTGCCTAACCCTGCAGCCTTGCCTCCCCTGGGCTCCCATTCCTGCACAGCCTGTGACTGCAATGACTCATCCTCCTGGGAGAACTTGCACTGAAACAGAGAAAGGGGAATTCGGCCAGTAGCAGGCCAGGCAGGCCAGGGTATGGATCTGCAGGAGCCTCCAGTACCTCCCCCCAGAAGTAAGAGTGGGCAGACTGGCCCGCCTGGTCTGTCAGATTGACAAGAGTCACAAGTCACATCACACTATCTCACTTCCCTTACTTATGGAGAGATTAGGTTGGCCCACCTGCTGCAGGTAGTGGACACAGTGTCTGTCAAGGTTTCCCAGAGGCCAGGTAGCTGGGAAGGGTGATGGGACTTGTCTGAGGCTGGGCAGGGAGGTAGCCATGGTGGGGGCACCAGAATCTAACAGTGTTGCCACCAGCTCCTCCCCCTCCTTCTTTATGCCCCTCCAGCTCTGCAGGCCAGGACAGCAGGCAGCAGGAAATGCAGGGCCACCCCAGCTTTTCTCTGATGCCTGCCCCTCTGTGGAGGGCATGAGAGTGGCCAGGTCCTGACCTTGCTGGTTCATCCCATTTCACAGTCACAGACTCATGCACCTGGATGCCGGAAGTGACCTTAGGGATCATCACAGCTTATAGATGGGGAAACTGAAGCCCAGAGAGACCTTCCACCTAGGACCTGGCTGACCCAGCTGATCTTCCCTTCCATTTGCAAAGCTGGGAAGTGCCTTGTCCAAGGCTCAGCTCATCTCACTGGCTGCCCTAGGCTCTCACCGTACTCCCCACATTTCTCAGTTTCTCCATCTGTGATATGACTCTCACAGTCCTCACTTTTCTGTTTCCCCAGGCCTTTAGGGCGTGAAATGGACAGGCAGATAGTGGTGGCTGTGTCACTGTACTGTGTGACCTGTC